GAACACAACTTTGAGTGGATTCTGATTCAATTGATATCTAACCATTGACTCCACTACTCTCACCAAATTCAATACCATCAGCACTTGAATCTGGGCTGTTGACTTTTCTTCCAATCAATATTATAAAAAACCTTATGGAAGATGCCTCTGCATCGTTCCTTGACATCTATAGCAGATATATTATGATACTCATATTTCTATAAGACCATACATATAAGTACAATCAAACTCTTCTTTGCCTTATATCTCAATCTAACAACAGACCATAAGTCACTCCAGAGTATGATTCTAGAATGAGATATGATAGGAACAAAATCTCGTTCTAAGCAATGTCGATAATCTCATTATCTTGGATTAAATCTATTGATTTTGAAATCATTGACATGCTCAGAATCATATGGTGTTAGCTATCAGAAATTGACATCAAGCAGATCAGATTATTATCTTAGTATGGTTGATAGAACTCAAAGAGAAGTTAAAGATTTCTCATAGAAATGTCTTTTTAAAACAACTTCCATGATGGTCCCCAAACAAGAAGCAATGAAGTTTCTTAAGATATCACCTTAAAGAACAAACTTCATATAATCAAATATTTTGAAACAAGATAGCTTTAACAACATCTCTTTCTTTTCAATACTTGATTTTATATTTAAGAACACAAATGCTTCTTTTCATATGCATCCTTCACTAATATCAACTTCAAAAGATTAATCACTGAAGAGCATATGATATTAGTTTTGGTAGTGTTTCTTCTTGCATTCAGATTTGGGAAATCAATTGAAATACAAATATTTTAGAAGCTTTTGAAGTTACTTTTCTATCAACGGATATCACAACCCATTCAGCCAGTATAAAAGTCCTTCTAACAAGAAACCTAAGTTTCTCATTATTAGTCATTCTAAAGAACTTAAGCTAAAAAGAGAAGGGATCTGTTGAATATTTTTTCATCATCCAACTTCATTTCTTTCCTTTGAAGACTACAAGACAAACCTTCAAAACACAACAGATTCAAGATTTAAACACAAGAAAAATGGTGACTTTGGATTTAAGTCAAGGAACAATCTTCTTAGAATTTGCTTGAAAAGATTATATGAAGTGTAACTACTTTAAGCTTCAAAAACTGATCCCCACAAACCCAAACACAAGATTTCAAAGATAGTTCAAGCTTCAAACATATCGATGATGTTGATATACTCAGAAGTGAGATAGTGCACCTACCAGAATGCAATTACCTTAAATATATTCAATATGTATCTTCTAACTTGGTGAAAGGGATTTTCAATATGATCATCTTTAAAACATCTATAGTAATACCTCTTTAAAGGATATTATAGAAACCACCAACAACCCTTTATCAAGTCCAATGGGTTAAAAATATGTTTAGCTTTTCCATCATTTAAATTCAGTGGAATCACCCATTTGAATATGATAGGAAAAGTTGTATGATATTTTTAATGTGGAATTTAATTCCTTCTTGAAGAAGAAATATACTTTTCTTATTGGATCATTATCTGCACCATTGTTAAGTGTTAAGCACAACCATGCTCTGATACCAATTGAAGGTTTGAAAAGTACACAAGAATGGGGGTTTGAATTGTGTTTCGCGTTTTTCTTTTAATTAAACTTCTGATCAGAGTTTCAGAATCAGAATTGATGTTCAGATTCTGAGTTAGTTTGCTTGGCAACGGATACAACAGAAGTAAATAAAATAACAGCAGAAAACACAAAATATTTATACTAGTTCATCCCCTAACTGAGAGTAGTCTAGTTCCTTTGTCTCACAAGAGCTTTTTATTATAATCACTTCATGATTACAATCGCTTATGCTTCTGCATAAGACTTTTAATACTGCTAAGACCAACTGTCTGAGACTTACCTTGCTTAGAGTGAATGTCTAAGACTTAACCTTTGCTCACACCATCTGACTGAGCCACCTACTCATCTGTCACCTGGTTGAGACTTTTCCTTTGCTTAGAGCACATGTCTAAGACTTCCATTTGCTTACATCCTCTGGCCTAGCCATCTGCTTTTTTGGTCATCCAGACTGAGACTTTCCTTGCTCAAGCTGCACTCGAGACTTCTTGCTCTCGCTCCTTAGACGAAGACTTTCTCGCTTGCTCAATCAGACTAGCTGAATAAGACTTTCACAACTCAAGCACTTAAGCAATGAGACTTACGTGGCTTAGGCATCTTGGCTCAACACTTGTTGCTTGAATCCAAATGACACAAGACTTTTTGCTCAAGCACATAACAGGAGACTTAATCTAAACTACTAAAGGCTCAACAGAATAGAGAGCAAGGTGTACATGATGCAAACATTAGAGGTACGGGAAATCACCATAACAAAGACCTAAAGTACTTAAGATTTCTAAATATACAGAGGTAAGAAATCTTAAGGCTTTTACAATTACAATCTAAAACAGAAAATTTACATTTTACATATAGTTGATAATTGCTTGATCATGCTACTCCTTCAACAGAAGAATCCTTGTTTTTAAATTCAAACTTAATCTTCATCCATATATAGCCTTTCCAGAAACTAGTTGTTGAGGAAGTGACTTGATCAAACGTCTTTGCTTTTACTCCATAGTATAAGAGACGTTGAAGATGGATGTACAACAAATTTAAATCCAGTGTGTAACACATTTAACCTTTGAGTCTTCAAGAGGTTTTGTACTGATAGAGTCATTGGGAGCAGACATCCATAGAACATACCAGCTTTTTTTTAGCCTTGAAATCTCGTAGACTCGAGCTGACAGGCTGATAAGACAATACAACTTACTTTCAGAAGTACGGATAATCCACACATTTATCACCAACTCTGAATGGTACTAGATGCTGATATACAATTACTAAGTGTAGAAACTCGTCTGGATGTTGAGGCCTTCAATTAAGAGTCTGCGTCAAATCACACTAGCAATTGTTCTTCAGATTATGCCACCCGAAGCTAGTAATGAAGCAACTCCAAGTGTATCTAAGTAAAACAGATTCTGATTATTTATGTACACAAACAAGAACCTGCATAAATAAAACACACATCAAATAAACCATTGTTCTTTTAATATATTTTTTATCATCAAAACTAAAAGAGAATATGTCAAGAACAAATCTTGTTCTAACAAACATAAGCCATATTACAACCATAAATAGAGATCAAAAGTGTGTGCTCAAATATGACTTTTATAGAAATTTTAAAAACTCATTGTTAAATGTTTTTGTATGTTGATTGTGTCATTAACTTGTCAAATTGAGTGAATAAAGGTGAGATGAGAGACATGTTGAGTACCTGTGTTATTGGAAGAACTTTTCCAAGTTAATTGAATTGAAGCAAGGAACAAACATGTTGATCAGAAGAAGAAGAAATGTGACGTTCATTGGTAAGGGTATGCATTTTGAGTCTGATGAGATTTTTACTATGCAGACACATTACTTCAGAACAAGCAACATAGTAAGTTTAGGGTAGTGATGACACTGGTCATTACGTAATATTTGTGAGAAATTTTGGACAAGTCGGTAGATTTATGAGCAAAAGTTAAGCCAAACTATGGAAGAAGTGAGTAAAAATAACCAAGAAGAATAAAGTTGGGACTTTGTGAAAATTTAAAGAAAAATGAAGAAAGGAAGTGAATTTTCCTCTATTTTCTCGTGATCACGGTGCTCTCATCGTGGGCGCGGTGACATCACATCGGGATCACGATATATACCAACGTGGTCGTGATGAAGCGTTTTTTCTAATACGCGTCTGCTACTAAGTAAAGAGTTTTTTGCTACTTTTTTATGGGTTCCAAATTTAAGAGAGAAAGTGACAGTCAAGAGCTTTGAAACACGACTTTGGAGAGCATAATTTCCATTGATTTTGATGAATACTTCTTATCAACTGATGACAATTGTTAGTTTCACTATGAGTGACTAAGTTATTCTTGATTAGGTCTTTTGAGGTGAACCTAATTGTACTCCATTGGATCATATGATTGTTTGATATTATTTGAATTCCTTTACATTATAGTCATTATTTAATTGTTATTGTGCTTAATTTCGTTCGTATGTTGACAATCACACATTAATATCAGAAAAGTAAAGATTATTAATTAACTAGGAATAGGTAATTATAAGTTGTGCCTTTTGAATTAACGAACTTAAACACGCTTGACTTAATTCTGAATTGACCTAACGAGTTGGAAAATTGTTGTGTAAATTCATGAGTTGTATACTAATGAATTGGGTACAGTGACTTTGTTAATTCGTCGTGAGATTATAGCCTAATTGTAACTCATTTGACACACAATTCATCAACATGTATAATTAGGAGATTCGATAAAAAGATCTAATCGCCTTTTCGTATCAAACTTTACTCTGTTAATTTTCTCGTTCTTGTTTTCATACCAAATCACTATTTAAATTCTCCTAATTATTTAGTTTAAATCTCATTGTTACTACCTTGTATTAATTCTCAATTATTATAGAGACAAATTATTTATTACTTCGACGAAACTAGTATTCTAACTAGTTTAGTCTAGGAGTGTGCTTTATGATTTTCTTTTTGTGTTGTTAAACCCTTGTTTATTGTTTCTTTCTCATTTATTGTGTTTTTTTTTTTTGACATTTGATTCATGTATTATTAAGTTTTTCCAACTTTATATATATATATATATATATATATATATATATATATATATATATATATATATATATATATATATATATATATATATATATATATATATATATATATATATATATATATATATATATATTCAATAAAACAAAAGGTCAAAAATTGCTTATAATTAAATGATAATGTGGGAGTATTAATTTAATGTTTTTTATGACCTAAAAAGTCTTTTAAAATTCCAATTAAAATAGACTCTATACAATGTTTTGGCGCGCTGAGTATTCTCCCATATTACAATCCAAGATTGAAAACCGCATAACCGCTTTTCTTCTTCTGTTATACTTTTTCTTACGCTACTGAAAAATCCCCAAATCCAATTCACTGCGAAATGAAAACCTCCGAGACAGACGGTAACGACGACGGTGATCGGCGTCTCAGTCTCATCGATATTTCTTCCGCCGACGATTCTCTCATCGTCAATCCCTTTCACCACCAACATTCAGGTCTATTTTCATTTTCCGAATTTCATTATTAAACCACTGTTTTGTTTTCTCGCTTAAGCTGCTATTGTTGTTGTTTTTCATAACTTCGGTGGTGAATGTGTTCTCAGAGATATTTTGCACTTCAAATTTGAAAGAAGAATTTGATGACGCTGCCACCAAAATCAACGAGTGGGAGCGGGAACCTCGTCCAAATGTGATTGAAAACCCTAAGTGTAATTTGCGCCAGAGTTTAGCTTGGGATACAGCTTTTTTCACAAGTCCTGGTAATTTTATTACTTTTAGGGTTAAACATGTTTTAGTCCAATAATAATTTCGAATTTTGATATAAGTATGCAATTTGAAGTGACAAAAGTAAAAACTTTGTAAATTTTTACGGTGAATGCTATCCCTGTTATTGTTGTTGTTATTGCTATTACTACTATTTATTGTTGTGTGATTCATTGTAAGAGCCATGCATGTTCAGGTGTTTTGGAACCTGAGGAGTTGAGTAGTATGATTGTGGGTGTTGAGAAAGGTAATAAGCGCTCATCATTGCTTCCGGGAATTCAAGAGGATGTAAAGGGATCGTGTGAGTCTATCACTACCTTTACAAATAAAAATAGCTTGACCCAGGAGAGCGTAGAGGATGATCTGTTTCAAGATGTAAGAGCTTCGATTCAGAACTTCATCAGGATGTCTGATGTGGCAAGGTTAAATAGAGAAGTTCTACCCCAGTTCTGTCCTGGTGGCTGTAAGTCTTTGTTACCTTGAACTTGATAGTTAGTTAGTATTGAACTTGATAATTAGAATAACCATACAACTGCTAGATGCATATAATGTTGTCATTTTCCTTTAGAGACTGTATCATCAGTAGTTCATCTTTACCGATTGCCCTTGTAAAAGGGAAAAAAAACTCCCAACTTGAGGAGAATGAAACAAGTCAAGGATGCTTCTGCTTCAATCTTAAATTACTCTAGAGGTCAATGCTGCTAACATTTTGAAACTTAAGAAGAGCAAATTGAGAAGAACGAGTCTGAAATTTCAAATAATCTTACGGGGTTTTGGGAATAATTTTGTCTTTTCCTATAAAAACAACTATCTCCCAACTCAAACTGAATGATGCAAGTCAAGGAAGCTTCTACTTCTATCTTCACATTCACCAAGATCTAACAGTGATTTAATTATTTGTTATTATAGTTGAAATTAGTTCAGGACTTCTAGTTGCAAAGACATGAAATGGCTTATATTACCTTTTATCTTGCCCTGTCACTTTCTGATGAATTCAAGGCAAGTAGGTTGAATCTTATTTAATTTACTCTGCCTATTATTCTAATGCATTGATTTATTTTATTAGTCATACTAAGTTTTTCCAGCTGCTCCTTTCAGCGTCTAAAGCGGTTGGCATGGCTTCTTGTAAGAAGGTAAATGGATTAGTCATAGTTATAGACTCACAGTGTTATAAAATATCCGCAATTGCGGTGCTATGGCGGATATACATGGCAATTTTTGGACTCACCGCAATGGTAAATTTTGGCCGTTATTGCGGGTTTTCCCGCCATAATTCGCTATAACAGCGCAACAAAGCGTCCGGTATGGCGGGATTTTGGCTCTTCACCATGGACCGCCATCCGCCATGGACAACACTTGTAGACCAGAATTTTTTTTTTGTCATTTTAAGTAATTAAAAAATAGCTGTAATAACTTAGAGTTTTGGATGAAGGTCCCAAGTTCCAAGAGTCCAAGTGCAGGCATGCAAAGCACAGGGAAGTTACCAAAGAAGAATCCTATTTCTTCCCACCTATCACAGGTAAGCAGCTAAAGAAAACATTCAAAAGAACTTGTGTTTCTCTGTACGTATGATAGCTAATGCGTGTGCATGTGAGACAAAAAAAGTCATCAGGAAATTGAATTTTAGTCACTTCATATTTGTCATACTATGTTTTATTTTTTTCAAAGAAACCTGTTGCTAGAAGGGAGGAGACGTGTATTTCAAAGCAACAAAAGACACTAGGAAAGTCTAGTCCGAGGTCAACAATATCATCCAATAGAAGTTCCATTAGCGATCTTCATGTCAAAAGCAAAAAGGATAGGGCAAATGATAAAAATTCCGGTTAGAATTTGCTTTAAGCATGATTCTTTTTTCCTTTTTTCTTACAGCGGCTGTCTTGTTCTCAACTGTTGTTCACTTTTAATTTTATTTGGCCTTTTCAGGTAAGGTCAATTCTGTGATGAACACAACTGTCGTTAAGGGTTCTCAAGTTAATGGGCTTAAAGCAATCACATTGTCCAAATCCTCATCTACAAAAGCAAAATCAACAATTTGCTCATCCTCCAGTCGCAACTTATCCTGTAATATTAGCAAATCACCATCAAATTCCTTGAAAAAAAAAGTCGATGCTGGAAACAAAAAACCAACGTCTTCTTCCTCAGTTGTCAGAACACCATCAAGAAATCCTCCGAGAGATAAAATTGGATCTACCAATTCTAGTCTTTCAGGCTTGGTGTCTGTTACCAAGCTCTCTTCTAGTATTTCGCCTGCCAGATCTATTAGTGATGGGTCTTCTGAGTCATCATCACCATCAACTTCTATCACTAAAGTTAGGTCTAACAGTTCAAGGACTACCTTTCACAGTAGCTCTAGCAAAAAACATTTACCAGGGAATAATGCTAGACATGTTTTGAATTCTCAAAAATCTCAAACTGGTTCATGCTTAGAAGGGAAGGAGACTAGGAATGCTGGATCCATCAGCCAGAGTGTAAGGGGGGCTACTGCCGCAAAAATGGTTCCTACCCCCTCTCCCAAGAAACCTTTAGGCCTTCGACAGCCATCACCTAAAATTGGCTTCTTTGAAGGGGTGAGTGTTATTTTGCAGTGTAATGTTTATGGAAATGTTATCAAACTTTGTATGACTAAAATATGAAGAGTTTAATTGTTATGCATTGACTGGGTAAAATAATCTTACACTGTCATCTAATAGAAATATATTAATCTGTCTTGCCATACAGTTAACTTAAAATTTACAGTCTGATGTAGCGGGATGCATGAGGGTGATTGGTTGACAGTGTAAAATAATTTTACACTGTCAGTGCATACCAATTAAATTCAAATATGAATTAAGTCATGTAACATAAAGGCAATGTACAATACATGTTTATGGATAGTGTTTTTTCCCTCATTGTTTTCTTCATCTCTTACATTTCAATATGTATTGTTATGTTATGTAGGTGAAACCGTCAGTACGCAATCTACGTGGAGAGATGCAGCCACGCTCTACAGCGTCACAAAGTAAGGCCAGTCCTTTTATAGGCCAAAACAAAGAAAAGCTTGGAAAGCTGAAATCACCAAGAGCAATCATATCAACTGAAAACAAAGTGTTCAATGACCAGCAAGCGCTGCATCAAGTTACTCTTAATAAATCACAAGATGATGGAATCGAAACTTCTACAGCTTCGCAGCATGTAGAAAGCTCTGCTGTTGTGCCCATGGAGTTTCAAAACCAAATGCATTGTAAAACTGATGCGGGTAATTTGGATGCCAATAATACCATGGTCAAGGGGCATCTTATAGGTGCCAATGATCTAAAACCTGGCTTTACGCAGGAAAAGTCTTGTTATGATGATCAAGTTGATTGTTTGAGCAGACAAGTTGAGCTTATGGATATAAATTTGAAGACACAAACATAGCGCAATAGTGATAATGTTTCTCTGAGCCTGATAAATCTAGAAGTGTGGTGTTGTCAAATGACAACTCGTAAGGTGGTTACTGATTCTCCTAGATGGGAGTAATTCTTGAAGCTTCATTACTTCATTGACTGGGCTTATTGCCCTATACAATTCTGATATGCTAGCTTGATCAAGGAGGTCATTTTTTTGTGTGAATCAAGGAGGTTCTTTGATGTAAATAATCATTGCATAGTATGATGGCTCTACCATTGCTTCTATAGAATTAGTTGGCTTAAATGTATTTATTTGATCTCCCTATTTATCTGCCAACAATTTTGATCCATCCTTTTCCAATTTACGATTTTAGTCCCTCCATATTATGGGAAAAAATAAGTAGAGTTGAGATTCAAGGAGAAAAGAAAAAATTGGTTTCATTGTTTTTCTTTGAAATAAAAATCCTTCAGAAGAGAAAAGAGATAATCCAATTGTAATTGTGAAATTTGTTAGGTTTCACATCAGTTTCGGATATTTATTAACAACAACAAAATTGCAGTGTTACATTGTTTGTAGACATTTTTTTTTGTTAATGACTAGGTCTAATTCACAATAAATGGAAGATAACAGTGTTGTTAAGTGTTTAAAATGGTTTATTGTCTAATAAATAATGGGATTGTAACTATTTCCTTTGGGGCAAGTTGTAAAATTCTTAAAAAGTTAGAGAAGGGAGATAGGTATAGAGCCGAAGTCAAAACATTCTATCAAATAGATTATTAATTCTTATTGTTCTTTAAAAAAATAGTGATTATTAAATTTAATGCTTACTATAAAATACAATGCAACACTGAGCATATATATACAAGGCTCAAAAATGCTTATAAGTTATTCAATAAAGACTTCATTACATCGATATAGAGTTGAACTCACATTCTTTTTGGATAAACAGAATTGATTTATCATCAACTGAGTCAACATGATTGTGTGTCCATAACCTGAGATTAAAATTGAAACTGTCATCACCCTTGAGTCACCATTTCTTCTTTATGATGTAATAACCCCCCTCATGTTGGTAATTGATATATATATATATATATATATATATATATATATATATATATATATATATATATATATATATATATATATATATATATATATATATATATATATATATATATATATATATATATATATATATATATATATATATATATATATATATATATATATATATATATATATATATATATATATATATATATATATATATATATATATATATATATATATATATATATATATATATATATATATATATATATATATATATATATATATATATATATATATATATATATATATATATATATATATATATATATATATATATATATATATATATATATATTCCCAACTTAAATAAAAAAGTGTTACGGGTTGAGGACGAGATTTTGTGAAAATTTTGCAAGTTGATTCTTAAAGGATACGCGCAGCAACTTCATGAGGTCAACTTACAATCTCTCTATTCCAATATGACAATCAATTTTAAAATGTTTGGTTTTTTCATAGAAGACAAAATTGACAACAATGTGGATGATACTTAGATTATTACAATAAAGGACATGATGTTTGTAATATTGGACTTGGAGGTCTTTGAATAAGTATAATTGTCATTGCAATTCACAAGTAGCAATTGCGAGAGCTATATACTCTATTTCAAAGGAGGATTTAGAAATGGTGATAGTTTCTTTGTTCTCCAATAAATCAAATTGTTACCAAAAAAATATTAGCCATAAATGATGGTGGGAGTGTTAAAGCTCTTACTTAACTGTAGGATAATGTAGATGATATTAGGTATGGTTGGGGTGACTTAACTGTCGGGTAATATAGATGATATTAGGCAGGGTTGTGGTGAGGTTTAACAGTCTTTTAATAAGTCTTTCAAAAGGTGTAGGTGTAAGAATAGGTTTGGTTTTACATCTTCATACTTTTATGTTTTGATAATAAAAAAGTGTAGAAAAAATAACTTTATGCATTAATTGGTTTATTAAATGTGCAGAAACTTAAAGGTCATAATAGAATCTAAATGGAAAGCGCAAATGTTGATTGAAGTAGATTCTGATCAAGGAACTTCAAATGCTATGTTTAGAGTCAATTATGATAGTTAAAGACTCTGAAGAAGACAATTATGATTGTCAACTCAGAAGACAACAAAGTCTAATAGAAAGCAAACTTCAAATCAAAGTAAAGTCTGAAGCAAGGTCTCAATAACATCAAATTATAAAAGCTAGATTCTGAAGAAAGCTATGACATTGAAGAAGTCAATGTGAATGCAGATAAAGTCTAAAGAAAACTAAAAGTAGATTGAAGAATATTAAACACATTATGAACAAATGAAGAATACAAAGATGTGTTTAAAAGCAAGTTAAACTTCAAGATTATCAAGTCAACGTTTCTGAACAGAAACCATTCACACAACCTCTTATAAAGCTCTGACTACAAGTTTGTGTTAGTCTCAAAACTCAGTAAACCAATGACTCTGAAGTCTCACCATGTTTTGAATACAGCTTCTGAATTCTACTCAAACTTTATCAAATTATATTAAAAGTCTCTGACTAGAAGTTGGTAGGCAAAGGAAATATTCTCTAACAGTCAACGCATATATTTCTTATTCACATTCATTATGAACTATGGTACTTTCAAGTCTCATTTTAAATAGACTTTGTAGTCTATATCATCTAGGCTCTGAACTCTGGTAAAACTTTACTTCATCTTTTATATGAAGTATCTAATTATGACGAGTAGTATACTCAACAAAAGTATAGTAAAAAAAGATATTTCTTTATGAAGACAGATTGTGATCTCTACTCAAGTTTCAAACCACTTTTCTAGGAAGCCTCTAACTAGAAATTTTGAATTAAAGGTTAATATTGTTTGATGAGGCAGAAAATACAAAAAACAAATCTACTTTCAAAGTAAATAAGCTTTTCACATCCCATTATCAACAACTCTATACTGCAAAACATCACTCTATTGCTGCATATGAAGTGATCTCTATACAACAAATACTTTTAGAACAATTTATTTTCTACCCTCCAACGAATCTATCTTCCAATAGATCTATTCATCTATATATTGTGAGGAAGAAGAATATGAAATGAATGAGTGAGTGAGGAAGATAAAAAGAAGAATGTAGAAAGGAGAAAAAGAAATGGATGCAGGCGCGTGTGTGTGGAAAGATATGTGTGTAAATCTTCGCAAAAGTCGGAGCTACAAACACCATAACACAACAAAGAGATAAACACTTAAGACTTTCATTGTTTATCTTTTATGTCTAATCATCTAAACTCCATCTTATATGTTATTAGCTTATCGAGAGCAACCTGTAAACACAAAACTCTTATAATTTAATTATATTGTTTATATTAGAGGTGATAATTGAATCCATTAAGGCAAAATCCATCCAATTCATCCATCAAAAAATTCATTCAATCCATCCACCACATAAAAAAATAAGTTAATGGATTGAATTAAATCCATCCATTTATATGCATAGATTGAATTAAATCCATCCATTTATTTTTCGTTAGATTTATTTTTTTAAAAATAATTTTTTTTAAATAATTAAAAAATTATATCTTTTTTCTGAAAAAAAAAAGTTTAATTTTTTTGAAAAAAAATCTATTTTTTTTCAGAATAAAAAACTAATTTGTTTTTTGAAAAAAATAAAATTATTTCTCAAAACAAAAAACGACTTTTTTTTTTCGAAAAAAATCGGTTTTTTTCAGAATAAAAAACTGATTTGTTTTTTGAAAAATAAAATAAAATTTTTTCTCAAAAAATAAAATAAAATTTTTTCTCGAAAAAAAACCGACTTTTTTTTTTAAAAAAACTTTTTTCAGAATAAAAAACTGATTTGTTTTTCGATTTTTCAAAAATTAAAATATCAATTTTTTTTAAAAATACAAAAAATTCAGTTTTTTAATAAATATATTAAAAAATAATTTTTTTTAAAATATAAAAAATGAATTTTTCAAAAATAAAATAAAATCAATTTTTTAAAAATAAAGAAATATATTTATTTTTACAAAATAAAAAAAAGTTAGGTGGATGGATCGTTTTAATCCATCCATTAACAATCCAATCCATATCCATCAAATCCATCTATTTTGCGACCCCTAGTTTAGATTACAAATAATAATACATAGAGTCGAATAAAACATGATAAAATTCATTTCATCATATTCCATCAAATCATTGTGGTTGCCCAACAATTCAAACTTGCAATGGAACTAAGTTGGGCAAAAAATTCGATATATTTTGTCAGTTTTAAAAATTCAATATATCACAAAAATAACAATCATTACATCAGCTATTTGTGAGAAAAATAAAAGGATCATTGATGTCATTATTCTCTTTTATCGCCATAATTGATAATACAGTCAAAAAAATATTAATTTTAGGGGCTGCAAAACTTTCCTCGGAATGTAAAACAGATAAACTCTACAACCTAAACTGCTCACAAGTAGCTCACAAGTATCAGAGGGAAGTGACTTAAACAATTAAGAATCTAATGGTGAGGAGAAATTTTGACCTAGGTAGGATCTTATGGTGAGAAGAAATTTTGACCTAGGTAGGATCTTATGCCAAAAGAAAATTGAACCAAACCAATGATCATTTTGATGATGAGTTTACGAGAATACATAAAGCCCAGTGTAAGCTTATGATATTGTTTTCTATGGCAATGCTTTTTACAGTGTCAAATTTTATATTGATTCATACATTCGACCTTCCGACAAAAAGATACAGTCTAAAATCACATCGTTAGACGTCTAACTAAACCCACTTGGTAAAGTGGCAAAAGCAATCCCTAGTCTCATCTTTCTATCCTTTACTTCGTAGTTCTCTCTAATCCATACTCTCGTCTTGAAAACTTTACCAGACAGATTTAGAGAGAAATATTGAGTGAGTATAATATATTTAAAGAGAAATAAATAGAGAGCCGTAAAGGATAGAGCGCAAGAGAGACACATATAGGATAGCAGGGCACGAGGAACTATGTTCAAAAAGTGCATACGCACGCCTCAACAAATACATAATATTGTTTTCAGAATATTGGTCTAAATTTTAAAGTAGAACATAGAAGTTCTATAATTTGACTAAAGAATACTAACCCAGTAAACTTAGGTGCACTCAATAAAACATTATGGAGTTAAAGAAATTGTAAAAATATTACTGATATTCATATATAATAAGCAAATAGCATATGATAAAAGAGAATAGAGCAGAAATTCCTAACCAAAAAATAAGTTCCACAAAATAATCAGAAATACATCACTGTCTTAAAATAACAGGAAACAAAATTCATCATAATTCAAAGGAACTAACATAACTGAAAGGGCATCAAACAAACTTATGATCTTGGCTTCTCCTTCTTCTCCTTGAAGAGGGCAAGAAGAGATACACCAGAAACCTTGACAACCTTGAACCTAACTCCGGGAATATCTCCCACAGCATGACCTTTTCTTCCGAATCCAGCAATCAAAACTTCATCCTGCAAACATCAACCACACACATGTTACAAAAAGATTTACACAAACAAATTAATATTCATAACCAACATTAATATGTCTCAAAAACCAAAACAGAAACTAAAGGAACTAATGATCAAAACACAAAAAACTCAAAACAGAAAAACATAAGGATTTACGTTTTCTTCGATGTAGTTCAAACAACCATCATTAGGGACAAAAGCAGCAATCTTCTTCCCATTCTTGATGAGTTGAACCCTGGCACACTTACGAATAGCAGAGTTAGGCTGCTTAGCCTCAATACCTCTGCAGATAACATTAATTTTTTGGTTAACACATATCATAAATAACAAATTACAATTAAAATAGTTGAAAAAAAGGCTTATTGACTCTTACATCTTTTCAAGAACAATTCCCTTGGCGTGTGAAGATCCCGCAAAAGGTTTCTTCCATTCATTACCAAGATGAGACTTCTTGTATGATTTATCAGCCCACCTTTGCCTCCTGCGGTGAGACTTCAGCTTGCGAGCAGCTCCCATTCCATGTGTCTTACTGTAAGTAAACAAATCCCATAAATTAATAGCTTTCGACATACATATATCACTAATAAGAAAACACATGAACCCTAGTTCAATTAATCTCAACTTTACAATTAACTTTGCAGAAAAATGCCTTGAAAGAAATCTCTGAATGAATTATAAACAGATAAACGATTATATGAATTGAAATAAATTAACCTACACCAACAATACATCATTTGTGCATCGAAAAAGTGGTGTAAGAAAACTAAACAAGTGATAGAGTTCATAAAAATTTTGATTTGATATAGATCCAACGTAAGCATATTGAAATTAACAAATTCGAAAAAGCAAAATAGCATAGATATTCATCGATCTGAGAATTGAACTTGGGAACGGAAAAGCAGAAAACATGAATGAGAATGAAATCGACTACAGATTATGCAAGGTTGAGTTTCGTTACCCCATGGCTGCGGTCTTCTGTGTTGAACTCGGAGACTGTGGAGGGATGTGGAGCAACAAGGTAAATCACCAAAAACCCTAATCTCTATATGCTACACTGAAAGTTGGAGCTTTATATATCTGATTCTGAACCCGAATAACACTGGGCCAGTTTAACTTTGGGCCTTAGTGTCTTGCACTCTGTTTCTATCAGCACCCTTAATGTAAAAAATAAAATAAAAACATTACGCTATTATGGTATAGGTTAAGAGTTAAATTTTAGAAATTTATTAAATATATACTAAAGATTATTTTATTTGTAAAAAATCAATAGTTAAATATTTTTTTAACCGTTATTACTCTCTGATCATTTTAATCAAACTCAAATTAATAAAGTATTAGAGGAAATATTAATTTTGAAGAAGACAATTTTTATGACAATTACGTCTTTTACAAATATATAAAAGTAAAATCTATCAAATTTTAGTATTGAGTCTTAAAATTTTAATTTAAATTATTATTTCAAATGATTGATAATATAACACAATCAAATATGTATATTAACTAAACAAAATATTATGTTTTATACCGTCATTAAAAGTTTAAAATATTTAAAATGAAATATTATTCTGTGAGATTAGATTATATAATTACAATTATATGTCAATAGAAGATAAGGTAACTATTATTCTAGTAAATGATATTATATTTTAACACTAAAAAATAATTGTATCCTATACATTTAAAATTTTAGTTTATATTATTTTAATCTTTATCAACGGATTCAATCTTTCGTAAATTATATACCAACGATCAACGTCCATATTATTAGATTAAACCTCAAAGTTAAAGTCCAACTCTCAAACTCATAATTGTGTGTGAGTATTTAATGGTTATTATCACTTAATTTATAGATCAAAAGAATAACATAACATCGTCAACTTTGTCAAATATGTGTAATGATGATTTGTAATTTTAAGAGAATAATTTATCTATTAAAATGTTGAATATTTTTAGTACATAATTGATTACACTTTGTAATCAATTACATCCATGACAACTTTGAAATTTCACTTGTTTGTTTGTTTTATGTGACTCGAAGTGGTGTAAATTTAGATGGTAACATACCACTGTGATGTTATGCTAATTTCATACCTAAATGTGACTGATTTAACATGTGACCATGTGAAACCCTAGTTGGTTAGTAGAAAAAGATATAAATTCTAGTTGGTTTAAATGTGTGAAATATAATTGAATTAGATAATTGTATGCAACTCCTAGTCAATTTAAATGATTGTGTATTAGGCTTAATCAATTTGATTGTTTTGTGAATGAACCATCATCGGTTCAAGTGATACATCCTTATCTTGTGAAGTTATGAGAGGTTGCGATTAGTGAAACGAAAACTCTTGACAATCTTATTTTTCGCACGTGTTTTTTGCGCGGACAACCTCTGACCTCTCGAAACGGGTTTACTTGCAGAACTGGTCAAACTAGTCTCAAGACACTTCGCTCTGGGAGTGTGAATTTGTGCTAGACTTGGTGGTTATTTGGACGTGTGTATGATGAAATTAAGTAAATATGATGACGCTTCTACTCAAATAAGAATGAAGAAAAGAGAAATGACATGAAAGTAAAGGCGTCGCTTTCGTAACATAAAAAGACTTGGTAAATTTAATTCAAATTGGTAAATACAAGTGAACGTGCTCGTACATTTTGTAAGGTATGAAAAACTCTTTTTTCTTAATGTGCGGTACTTAGAGTGTTTTTCTTACAATGCTATCCAAAAACGCCTTTCTCTTATAGCCAGGATTTGCTTTATATAGATAAGTGAAATAACCGCCAGGTTGTTTCTAGAGTCGCCACGTGTCTGACCACTACTTTTGTAACTTCCTCATGTTCTCCTTTTTTCAAATCCATTTCCCGCCAAGCAAAACCCCTTCATCAGCTGCCCCATTCGTCGACCTGGTCGACCGTCATAAGTCTAAGTCGATCCATACGTCTTCTACTGTGCTGTTGACTCATAATACTTTTCCTTCTTCCTCTACTTTCCTGTCGACCTCGACCTTTTCACCTGTCGATATTTTGAGTTGGTTTTTTCAGCCAACACTTATGATAAGCAAGATATAAACATAAGAATGGATTGTGTAAAGTCGGTTGATTGATTGACGGAGACAAATTAATTATGATAGAAAGACTTGGGATTATAATTAATGTATGTGAAAACACTTGCCTAATAAAAATTAATTGGTAAGTGAGAAACTTATCCCTTAAAGAAATTTAATTAGGGGAAGGATGTTAGATAATAAATATATGCTTATTTAATGGATATTACTTAGTAAGTGAGAATACGTAGGATCATGTTCGAATCCGAACGGTGAGAATTCTCGAAAGTAATCATACTTCAATCTTTTGTATATGTCGATGCGATGATTCCAATTCAACGGAATCTAATAGGTGAAAATATGGTGCCTAGTATTGCTTTATTTGTAGTTCGAAATGTAGAAGAGTAAGATCGGATAGAAAAAAGGTAGGAAAGCTCTGGATACCACCTTACTACCTTACTGATCTTAAGAGAAAGGGGCGAATAATTTTGAAAACCACCTTAATGGACATGAACAAATAGAAGGGGCATGCTTATCTATAAACCCTTTTAATGTGTGGGCAACTGATGTAGATGTTCGTAGATTTGATTCAACTTGACCAAGATTCATAGCTTCTATTCTTTTATATGGGAAGTGTAACCAGGTTATCAATCTTTCACGAGATTTACGAAGCGGTAATTAGCTTAGAGTTATTATTTCATGTATAGTACTCAGTGCTAGTGAAGTAATTTGTATGATCTCAGTACCAGTAATATCACTTAATGTAACATGATTTTAGATAGTATTATATTGTAGTTTAAGACATATAACATCACAAATGCTGAACTGTGATTGATAATTACATCACTGAAACCTAACCATCAATGGAAACAGCACTAACGATATTAGTTACAAATAGCAAATACTTGAGCAAAACAATGTATCTTAGAAATATTTGTTACATGAACTTCTTGAGGCAAATATTTCCCAAGGACTGCTTGAATAGTGATCAAACCAGAAGACACCCAACAAAGAATAATGGAAAGCAAACAAGTACAATGAAACATGAGTAATGAAGCATATTATACATAGTTACACAACCTTGTATATGTCTATCTATCTATTGATGATTCTTCTTCCACAAAACTCCAATCTTCTTCAATACGGTTGTATTTTTCTTCTTAGGTGAGTCATCATCAGTGCCTTCTGAATAAGGCGAACTCGTCTTGTTACCGGTAGTAGAATTGTTGTAGCCACTGTCAAGCGAACCGGTTCGCTCCCCAATTTTCTCATTGTTGTTTCCTGAAGAAATCATAGCAGCAGCTGCTTCAGCTGCTTTCCTCCACTGATCTGACTGCACTTTCAATCTCTTTAATTCAGCCTCTAACTCCGAATTCGACGCATACGCAGCATCTAACGCCTCAGTTACCTGTGCTATCTTTCTGTTACTATTATCAGCTTCTTCTGTTATGTAGCCAAGTTTTGTCAAAGCCTCTCGTTCCGCGGTCCTTGCTGCCTCCGCAGAAGCAACAGCCTCATATGTAGTTTTATTCTTCTCTATCTCCTCTCTTTTTATTTCCATCTTGAGTGTATTGTTCTCTTCAGTTACACTTTTTAGTTTTGTCTCTCTCTCCAACAATTTTTCCTTCAACTCAGCCACATCATCATCCTGCAAATGAGATTCATTGTCAATCAAGCGCGCCCTTAACTCTTCGATATCAGCTTTAGCTTTCTTCAGTTCCTCGTATAATTCAGCTTGTTTTTTATTAGATTCTGATTTTGTGTGCTCGAGTTGTTCAAAGGCACTTCTAATCTGCAATGTGCTTCGAATATACTCGTCCTGATAACTTACCTCGGCAACATCTAATGCAGATTTTAACTTCCCTGCTTCAGCTTTAACCGAGACAAGCTCGGCTTTGAGCTGGTTTATCTCTTCACTTTCAACAACTTCTGATGCAGGTAAGCGAGGAGATAAACCGGCTCCACTGACCAAATCTTCCTGAAGTTTACTCACAAGTTCCTCCAATGATTGTACATGAGCCTTTGATTGCTCCAACTCTAAAGCTAAGGATTGGAAAGCTTCTGATGCTTTCGCACCTTCTAATCGGAGCGTTTCCACTGTCTTATTTGCAGCTTCCAATTGCATTTGAGTTTTGCCAACTATTTCCAAAGCCTGTGATTCAGATTCTCTACATTGGCTCACCTCATTTTTCAGCTTTTCAATTGAAGACACTGTTTCATCAAGCTCCATCCTCAATTCTTGTATCTCAGCATCAGCTGACTCGGCATTGTCAATCCGAGTAGCCTCAGATTCGCGTGCTCTTTCAAGTTGCATTTTCAGTTTCTGGATTTCATTCATGGAAGATGCTAATGCAGACGAATCCATTGAGTGCTGCTTATGGACAGCTTCTAGCTCAGACTGCCACGCTCGATCTCGGTCCTGAGAAACTTTACGTAGCTCTTGAATCCGTCCATCTTCAGAACTAGATAGTTCCAGAAGCTGTTGCTGTGATTCCTCCAACTCTCTTGACATGGATAAAAGCTTACTCTTCGCATCTTCAGCCTCACGCTGAGCTT